TTTTTTTTAGTTTGTTTTAATTATTTAATTAAGTTAAATGAGTATTTAAATTACGTTAATACAGTCTTTAAGGTTCTGTTGAGTGGTCCAGTAGGTAGAAGCAGATATGGATTACAACCTGTGGGCCGATTAGGGTTAATTTAGGTTAGGGTTTTTATCTCAGATTACCATTAGAATTAGGTTTTATTTGTGCCTATATATATATGTTTATAGCCTGAAGGAAGGGTTGGAAAACCCTATTCACATATCAAAACACAGTGTGATACAGAGTGAGGTTTTGAGAGAAATAGAACAAGTTTGTGAGGTTTAGGGCTGGGGCTTCAAGGTCAGACCTAGGAGAAGGGAAGAACAGAAGTAAGAGGAGGCTAGACAGTAACTCAGGGTTTCCGGAACAGTGGACACGATGCCGGTATTTCATAACTGAAACCACTGAGGTAAGTTCTTTCCTTCATCTCTGTCGTTGCCTGTGTTCTGTGCATCCGTAGATAGTCTCTAGGGCTTTAATTGACTATTAAATTGAATCTTAGATGCTTAGTATTTGCTAAATCAATTATCTGTATGTATGCGTGAATTAATTTTGTTACAGTTCATGCAAGTTTGGTTTGGTTACAGTGTTTGCTCTTCCTAAGCATGTTTGATCGGTAAATGTTCTAAGGTTTTTATTTGATGCAAATTAACTTAAGTAAGGGTTTGGGATGGTTTTGGACATACTTAGGACTCTTAGGAACAGTTTTAAAAACCAACAAAAGGAGTGGAAGTGGTTGGTGTTGAAGCAGATGGTCGGAAAACGAAGCTGAAGGGGATCAGAGGCTCAGAGGGATGAAGAGCCGGCTCTGGAAATTGAAGAGCCGGCTCCCATCATTCAAGAGCCAGCTCCAATAAGGCATGGAGCCAGCTCCATGCTTGCAAGAGCCTGTTCTTGCATTTTAAGAGCAGGGTCTCTCCTATTTTGGTTAATTCTATGCATTCTGGGTTTTTTTCTTGGGTGCTGTTTGGATGGATTGAGTAGTCTGGAATGTTTGGGAGTATACTGGGAGTTCTTAGCTACTGGTTTATGTGGGTTTAATATCTTGTATGGTCCAAATTATACTTGCAAGCTAATAGGTTTAAATTGGTAGGAAAATAAACAACTTTGTATGTGTTTAACGGATGGAAGAAAATCAAGTGTTTGACTTGATTTTAGCAACTTAGCAGAATATAGCATAATTATAAATCTAGATTTAGATGCAAAGTAGAGCTATTTATTTATCAGATTTGGCCCGGTATGTCCCGAAAGTTAAGTGCCGAAACATTACACTTGTTTATGTAATTACATGGAGTAAGGTTAGGATTTTAATTGCTGAAACATTAAGACTCGTTATGAAATTAGATGGATTATGATTTAAATTTTAATTGCTGAAATATGAGTTATTATTCTGCCAATACTTGGGTTTTAAACTTGGACTTTAATTACTGGACTATTAGAATTATTTCTGTAATACGTGGATTTAAGCTTGGATGTTAATTTCAGTATTAATAAGCACCACCCTGAAGTTATTTGGATAATGGTCTGGAATTAAATTTCTGAACTATTACTTATGTTCGGTTAATCTAATTGTATGTTGGCCTGGAGTTAATTGAAGAATTAATTATATGTTTTCTGTCAATTACCTGGATGGATGCTGGAATTTAACTTGATGAACCATTAAACTTTATCTCGTTAATTACATGGATGTATTTTGAATTTTTAGTTGATGACTTGTTTTAATTCTGTGTTTATCAACTATATGGATTATGTGGACTTTATGTGATGTATTGCTTATGATGTTGCATTATTTACGGATCATTTGCATGGTATGCACCGGTATGGGAAGGTGGCATACGGAGGGAAGGGTTAGATCAAAACGCTAACTCCTACCCATTCATACATATGGAATGGATTAACTAAAACAGTTAAATCCTACAAGGATGCGTGTCCTATCAACTAAAACAGTTGTTTATATTTTCGTAGTAATAAGGATAGGGGTTTAATTAAAGCATTTAAATCCTGGTTATATGTGTGTCTTGAGCGTGAATCGTTGACTGGCACAACATTGTAGTTGGATGGACTTTATATATATATTTATGGTACCACGATCTGAGCTTGAGTCTCATAGTCGACGGTTAGGGTGCGTATATGCAGTATGATGCGTAGCTAGCTGTGTTGATTGAGGTATACCCTGTTAGGCTTAGATAGTCATGCCCACTTAGGTGCGTTTTGCATGTTGTTTTCTATTCAGGTTGAGACCCTCAGCATAGTCTAGTGAGAGTCCCGTAGTTTGGATATATATATATTTATCTATTACGGACTATATAGATATGGTTGAGACATCTAGGATGTATCTGCGTATCGGGTTTTTGTTTGGATTGTAATTAGGATAGAACTTGTTCGTGGGCCTAACCCACTATTATTTTTCAGGTAACAGGTCTTAGAGCTTGTTCGTGCTAAGTAGAGATGGCTTCTCATTCTTTCGACGACGTAGGAGTTTCTTCGGGATTTAGCATTGGAGTTCTTCAGTTGTTGATTTCAGTGTTGGAGTTGATTAGGGGTCCACCAAATGGATTCCCGAGTTGTATTAGAAATGGAGACTTTGGATGTATCAAAGTAATTCTTTATTGATAAAATTTTATTCTGAGGTTTCAGTATTTGGATTATCATATTAGTTTCTTTTCAGCAGTTTTATTTATTCCTATTTTTTTAATTGTATTCTGTGTTCGTTTATTACTAATTGGTTTGATATCCTCAGGTAATCGGGCGTAGGCCTGGCCAACCTGTATCCGAAAATCCGGAGGTATCACACCCAAAGTTTTTCACAGAGACCTGGTATTGATTATGAGGAGACATACTCTCCTGTGATGGATACAATCACATTTTGCTTCTTGATCAGTTTAACAGTCTCAGAAGTACTAGATATGCATCTGATGGACGTGGTTACAGCTTGTTTATATGGATCACTAGATAGTGACATATATATGAAAATCCCTGAAGGATTTAAAATGCCTGAAGCAAATAGCTTGAAACCACGTACCATGTATTCGATCAAGCTACAACGATCCTAATATGGATTGAAACAATCCGGACGCATGTGGTCCAATCGACTTAGCGAGTATTTACTAAAAGAAGGATATGTGAATAATCAAGTTTGTCCATGCATTTTCATCAAGAAAATCAAGATCTGGATTTGCCATTATAGCTGTATATGTTAACGATCTAAATCTTATAGGAACTCCTGAAGAGCTCACCACGACTACTAATTATTTAAAGAAAGAATTCGAAATGAAAGATCTTGGTAGAACAAAATTTTGTCTCAGCCTCCAGATCGAACATTTACCAAGTGGAATTCTTATCTATCAGTCAACATACACTGAAAAAGTCTTGAAGCGCTTTTATATGGATAAAGCTCACCCCTTGAGTTCTCCAATGATTGTCCAATCACTTGATGTTAAGAAAGATCTTTTTCGTCCTCTGGAAGAAAGCGAAGAAATTCTTGGTCCTGAAGTACCATATCTTAGTGCAATCGGTACTCTAATGTACCTTGGGAATTGTACCAGACCTGATATAGCATTTGCAGTCAACTTACTAGCATGGTATAGTTCTACACCAGCTCGAAGACATTGGAATGGGGTCAAACACATTATGCGTTACCTTCGGGAAACGACTGATATGGGGTTATTTTATGCAAGAAAATTAAAGCCCCAGTTGATCGGATATGCAGATGCAGGTTACCTTTCTGACCCACACACAGCTCGATCACAAACATGGTACTTGTTTACTTGTGGTGGTACTGCTAAATCATGGTGATCTATGAAACAGACCATGACTGCAACTTCTTCAAATCACTCTGAGATACTCGCAATTCATGAAGCATGTAGAGAGTGTGTTTGGTTGAGATATGTTATACAACATATTCGAGAATCATGTGGACTCTCCTCAATCAAATATAGTCTAACAATATTATATGAAGATAATACAACATGTATTGTACAGGTAAGAGGATGATACATAAAAAGTGACAGAACCAAGCATATTTCACCAAAATTCTTTTCCACATACGAGCTCCAGAAGAGCTGTGATATCGATGTTCGGCAGATACGCTCTAGTGATAATCTAGTAAATTTATTCACTAAAGCGCTTCCAACTACAACATTCAAGAAGTTAGCGGACAACATTGGAATGCGTTAACTAAAGGATCTTCAAGGTTGAACTAATAAGGGGGAACAATTGATCAAAGAGGTATTAATATACTGTACTCTTTTTCCTTCGTTCGGGTTTTATCCTACCAAGTTTTCCTAACAAGGTTTAATGAGGCAACTTTAATCTATGTAATACCATGCACAAGAATACTGTATTCTTTTTCCTTCACTAAAGTTTTGTCCCACTAGATTTTCCTTAGTAAGGTTTTAACGATACATATTCTTAGTGTAATATTATGGACCACAAGGGAGAGTGTTATGTATGTATGTATTTTGTGTGGGATCCACATTTACTTAAACAGTTGATGATGCAATCCATGAAGACATCTTTGGTTGGAATATGAAAGAAGCTTACAACAGCGTATTGTGAAACCCTCATTTGTGAGCCTATAAAAGGCCATGCATCCACTGCTTTGAGGGGTGCTTAATAAAGAAAGCTTTTTACTTCCTCTCATGTATATTCTCTCTCTGTGCAAGCTCTCACTATTACGTACTCTATATAGATATACATATAAATATTCCTTCCACAGATCGCTTTATCAGTCTAGAGAACAAAAGTTAATGCCATAGACTCAAATTTTCGGGTCAAGTGACGATAATGCAATTTATTATTGTAAAAATTTTAAATAAAATTATATATGTAATATACTTACAAGGTATGTACAGTTTGACTATTGGGCTATTAAACAAAAGCGGGCCTAGGTATGTACAGTTTTGAATATTACATTGTACTGGCCAATACTAATTGTTGTCCAAAAATAGGCCCAAAGGCCATTCAAAAGTAAGACACCGTGTGTTATCGTCCTCCGTTCAAACCGATCTGAACAGATATTAAAACCCTAGCAATCAGGCGGCTTTGCAAATTTCTTTCTCATGGCCATCCTCCTCCGTTGTCTGCGTTTGGGCGGCAGAAAGATATGCAATACGAAGAAATTAGGCTTCGTTGCCTCACATCGTCCTATTCCTTCGTGGTCTTTTTTCACCACCACCACTGGAACCACCACGCTTCCTGCAGAGGAGGGAAGTCTAGACGAGCATCATCATATGAAAGAAGCTGTAGGAGACGGTTTGGAAAATTTAGGGGTTGCGTCATCGGAGAAGCAGCGAGACGCTGAGATAAAACCTCGCGTGGAACTCCTGGCCCGATTCGCTGCGTTCAGCATCCGTGACGAGCAAAATGCTAAGAAGATTGAGTTTAAAAGGGTGGGGAGCGCTAAGGTTCAACTGGTCAGAGATGGCCGATTATACTATTTTACTATAGAGGCACTGGTTGGTGGGGTCAAAAAGTTCTACGAAGCTCATGTTCTTGATACCCTCATCGAAAGAAACAGCATCTCCTTGATAGAATGGTGCGAGGTCAAGTCTCCTCCTAAGTCGTCCACCTCCTCCTCCTCTTTTGATTCTCCACAAAATGGTAACTTTCTTTTTCCTTTCTGTTTTTTAGTGAGTCTGTCAGTTGTAATAATACCGTCAGTAAAGATTTCAATCTCTTGGGAAATTTTGATTTTATTGTCAATAAATGAATTGATGTTATAATGAATTATTATTCAATTGACAAATCTATCATGCTAACGCCCCCTGAACTATTTAAATGTCTTTGAAAAACACACCCTTGAACTATTTTTTTCCCTGTCAAATAACCCCTTCAACTTTTCAAAAGCTGCCAATTCCGTTAGTTTTTCTTGTAATTTTACTTTTACTATCCTTTAATCTTCACTTGAAAAAAATTCTTAGTTGGTCCAAATGTGTCAGCTTTATTCACTTTTGCTTAGCTAAGCTGACCAGAGACACGAAACTTCATGTGTGTACACTTTATGGAACAACTTTTGTTGTCTTCAGAATTTCTGAATGATTTTCTGTTTTGGTGCTGAGAAAACTGTAAAGAAAATTGAAGTTTTGAAATTTGATTTATTTCCTTAGTTGCACTTGTTCATCATGGCTGAATTTGCAATATATATATTTATATATGTTTGTTTATGTATGTATATAGGTTTCAAGTTGAAGAAGATTGAAGGTTCTGTATGATTGCTTAGTAAATTGGAATTATCAATTTTGAGTTTGCATTTTTTATGTGACACTAGGAAGCAATGTCTTGAACTCACATTGTCTTATTTGTAGATCCTGATATAGGATTCAGAACCCGTGCGTGTTGATCTAAGATTCCTCAGAGATCGTTGTTTAAGAAACTAGAAATTTATGTGATTGAATCCAAAGCATCATAGCACCACCTAAACTATGTAAATCAGAATATTCCGATAATTTTGCACTTCCAAATCGATCCCTATCAGCTTTTTGTCAAAAACCACAATTAATGGATTTCTTTGTGTGATGGCGCCCTGACTCCTGAGTGTGTCTCTCATCGTCGATACCCATTAGGATTTCTATATCAGTTTGTTTTCTCCAAATCTAGAAAACGGAAGATGAATGTGGCGAAGTTTCAGGTATGGCAGCCTTATAAGAAGAAGGTATATTTGAATGAGAGAAACAATAGTAGGGAGAGAGAATATCAAATATATTGTTTTCTAAAGGGTATTTTCTGTAACATATAAGGGTAAAATAGTAAAATTACAAGAAAAACTAATGGAGTTGGACGAACATCCAGTTTAGGGGTGTAGTTTGGTAGCTTTTGAAAAGTTGAGGGGTATCTTTTGAGATATTTAGATAGTTCAGAAGGGATTAGTGCATTTTTGCCAATCTATCCTTATTCATCATGTTTGCCAGTGTTTTCTGCCTTTTGTCTGTTATCTTCTACTGCCTTTCTTCCTGTGGCTATTCTCATTGTTTCTTGATTTCTCAGCATGGATCGAAGCTAAAGCAATGGATTGTCTTTCTTATGAGGGGCCCAAATTTTTTTTTTTGGGTGGAAATTACTTGACTTCATAACAGCACCCTTGTTTCCACCAGCAATTATGTATCACTGTTGGCTCATATACATGTGTGTACAAGTACTTGTAATAAACTACATCATCCAATACAAATCCATCCTACCAAATGTAGTAAAATTAGGCACCCCTCTTTCTCTCTCTAGAACAACACTTCCTCTCTCTCTCTCTCTCTCTTACTCGCCTTCGCCAGAATTTCGACTCTTTGAGCAAGCAGTGATATACAATTGCAGGTGAAACAAAGGTAGATTCAACACATGATCAGTCCCACTCCCACCCTAGATTTGTCAAATAATTTGTACAATTCCCTTAATTTTCTTCTTTTTTCTTTATTTTTAAAATTTTGATTTTGTATGTGTTGTTAATTGTGGGATGAAAATGCACATCAACTGTATTTTCTAAAGAAATGACACGATGATCTAAGCATGAGAATTGGGTAGCATTGATTTGAGTTTGTGCAAATGATTAATGGATATAATCTAATACCATTTAGGGGTTCAACAATTTATGGGGATTTTGATAATGTGTAAGGGTAGGCCTGTCTAATTATAAAATAATTCAATATAAGAAGGGCATTCTACTAAATAAATATCAAATGGTCACTTGTAAATTTGGTGACTATTCATCTTTTTATTTTTACTTTATGGTTACTTCAGAGCAACTAAAGTCAAATTGTTTCGTAAAAGCATATATAGGAAATGATGCGAATTAATTTTGCCCAAACCTCATTGGGTATTATGATTACCCTGTTTCTGTATCTCCAACATATTGTTACATTACATAAATAAGAATGAACATTTGTCTAAATATATTTGATATAAGGTTTTCAGTGTATTTTAGGGTAGGCTTGTCTAATTATAAAATAATTCAATATAAGAAGGGCATTCTACTGAATAAATATCAAATGGTCACTTGTAAATTTGGTGACTATTCATCTTTTTATTTTTACTTTATGGTTATTTTAGAGCAACTAAAGTCAATTTTTTTCAAAAATTGATTTTGTTGAGTTTTTTTATTTATTTTATTATTATTTTTTTTTTGAAATTTCAAATTATTTAGTGTTTTTGTAACCTTTTGTTTGTGTTAAAATAAAAAGGTTCTTAGCTTCTAGAATATAAGTAGTGATAGAGAAACCGAAACAAAGACCTAAAAGAGTTACCGAATGTGACATGGCTTGGCTACGTCAGACTATTTAAATAAACATTTCTCTATGCAATAAAACTGAAAAAAATAAAAAATAAAAAATTCTTGGAAAGAATATCCAGACTCTCGTCGTGGAAAGCATAGACTTTCTCTCTCACATACACAATGCTTCACTTCCCTTCTTTACTGCAGAACTTGGAGAGAGAAAAATAGGGATGAAAGAGACTCTGGGGAGAGAAACAGGGAATCAAAGTGCCTACACTTTAACTCTCAAATCGATTATTTTCGGGTCTCATCTCACACACATATATAGTATGTATAGGTATAAAGCTCTTGATCCAATTTCTGTATTTTTTGTGAACACAATGTCTTATAAGAAATTGACTATTTCAGGTTTTATCTCTTATATACATATGTGTGTTTTGTGTGTGAAATTTATCTGACCCAAGAAGTAGAAGAAACCAAGATACGCTTTACACTTCAAGATCCAAAAACCCATTCGAAGGACGAGTCCACAAAGATCAAGAAATCCCTTCGATCATGGTGATGGGGTCGCCGTGGTAGCGCCCTCAAGGGATCAATGTCCGGTCCAGTGTATATTACTGAAAGCCGGAGAGGGTCAGCCAAGCCCCACCAGACCACCAACCGGCCGTCATTGGAGTCGCTTACCAGAACCCAGACACCGATGTGGATGTGGCAGGTGGAGTTACCGTACATGAGCCGTCCATGGATTTGATCTGATTTTTCCTGTTTTTTATTCTCTCACACGTAGAGAGGATGCTGAAAGATTCTGACGTGGCTAGGCCACGTCAAATTCGGTGCTCATTCGGTGCCAACTTTTCAGTTCCTTTATCATTATTCGTAGAATGTACAAGGCTTTATAATATTCAATTCTTTGATACAAAATTTAGGAAAATTGACTCCTCATTGGTCAATGACATTGGCCGAAGAAAACAAAAAAGTGGTCAAGAAAGACAGTAAATCAAGATGATTAAAGTGGTCATTTTTTCGACTGAGATAGATCAAGTTGTTGATTGTCATGCTTGTATCTCCCTTTTCATCTTTTCAGGTAAAGATTGAGCTGGAGTCGGGTAAATAGAACAGATGCTGCTAATACGTTAATAAAATAGCGATATGGTGAATAGCGATATGGTGTTTTGCTGCTACGTTTCACTTTACTTTAGTGGAGTGACTATGTTATGTTTGTGTGAAGGTTTGTTCACTTTATTTTATAGTGATATGGTGTTTTGCTGCTACGTTTCACTTTACTTTAGTGAAGTGACTATGTTATGTTTGTGTGAAGGGTTTGTTCACTTTATTGCAGTGGTTATATGTGTTATAATTATTTTTTGAGAGCAAAGTTTTGCCATTATATGCTGAGGCAGTATCAACATTTCTAAGATGCTTTTTAAGTTCTATTGCTTCAACGAATATGTTCTTGTGTTTTCTTGACATTGCAGTCATAATAGTGCATTCCTCCTCACTGTCAGCTGGTTCAAATAATTATGTTTAAGTTTCTGTACGTGTCAAATGTTTTTTTATGTTACTTATGAATTTTCATCCTCATGCCAAATGATCGATTCCTATAAAACTCTTGCTAAGGTGAAGTAGGATCAAGTGTGCATATAGATAGGTGTTGGTGAGAATCAAATGCGTTTTCTGAGATCTGGTTACACAAGTATGGTTGATAACACACCTCGTGCCTAGGTCCAAGACAAAGGCACTTCATGCTTTAGTTTCTTATTGTTTCTAACTGTTCAGATAGCTCTATTGCTGTATTTTCTGCTTACTGGTGGTTGTAATTTTGTTAGGGTACTTGTGTTTTTTATGGCTGTTTTGCTGCTTCTATTGCTTACAGCTGGTTTTTAGAGAACTGTCTTATATTACTTCATCTATTGCTTACAGCTGGTTGTTAGTTTCTTATTGTTAATTTTGATAGGATCTCTAGTAAAGTTTGTATATCTTGGCAGTGGATAAACGACCACAGGAGCTGGCTCAGTTCCCCACTAAAAGAGAGAATGAAGAGCTTTTGGAACCAACCCATACTCCTTCTCCCTCAATGGATTCTGGTAAAAGCGAATGGTGTGGCTCATGCTTTCGATACCTCTGCACACCAGAGAAGTCGGTTTTTGAAGTTCGAGGGGAGAATAGAATCTGATCAACCTTTTTCTCCAGGGTCAACTCTTTTGAAGAAAGAAGTCAAGCTAAAGTTTCCAAGCGTAGGGAACTTATCACATAGCTGAGCCTCAAGCACGACCGACTGATTCATTTTGAAGGCTGCCAGTTCCCGATTCAAACGTTTTTGGCTTTATAGCTCATTTATCTAAACTATAGGTTCGACTTTGTGAAATGGATCATTGTGAGTCACAATTCTCGAAGTGCCCATCTATTTTGGAACGGATGGAGTACTTCTTTTTAGATCTTAATGATTGGAATCATCAATTCAACAACTAGAATATGGAGTTTTTGTTTATTCCTCTAAATGGGAGAGAGACTTGTGCCGGCTTGTTTGAATTATATGTGCATGTAGTTTATATTACTTTGGTAAGCCGTTAAAGTGAATTATGCTGTTCCTTTGCACGCTATTGTAAAATCTGTGATTGAAATAGGTCGGAGGGTTGGGTGATGTTTGTGAAGTTAATAAGAGTAAGATTAGGAAAAATAAAAAAAATAAAAAATCAATATTTGTGAAGTTAATAGGAGTAAGATTAGGAAAAATGGAAGAAAATAAAAAATTAATGCTCCTATTTAGGAGCCAAAGGATTTTGAAAAACTATATGATTTATAGATTTATTGAAATAAATAATATTTAAAAAAATGCATTAAAATTTTTTTTTTAAAAAAAATGATGTAAATAATAATATTATATAAATAGAAAGTGTATTTAAAAAATAAAAATGTAGATATATTATAGATATATAGGAAGAGAAGGATTCAGAATTTGCACCTCAAGTGATGATAATACAATAAATTTTTGACAAAGATTTAAATAAAATGTTATGAAATAAAAAGGTCGGAACAGTTTGGATATTGGGCTGAAGAACAAAAGCAGGCCAATGAAGCCCAGTTTGGAAAAATACACTGGAGTTATAAACTCCCTTAGACATTGGTCTAGCCCATACTAATTGTAGTCCAAAAATAGACCCAAAAGCCATTAAAAAAGCAACACCGTTTGTGTGTGTTGCGTGTCATCGTCCTTCATTAAAACCGATCAAATCTCAAAACCCTAGCAATCTGGCGCCTTGACATCTTACTCATGGCTCTCCTCGTCCGTTGTCTTCGTCTTCGTCTTCGTCTTGGCGGTAGAAACATATGCAATACGAAGAAATTAGGCTTCGTGGGCTCACACCGTCCTATTCTTTCTTGGTCTTTTTTCACCACCACCACCACCACCCTTCCGGCGTTCGCCATAGGTCAAGCGCACAATCTGGATATTGAATTTGGAAGAGTGGTCAGCGCCAAGGCTCAACTGCTCGATAATGGCCGATTATACTCTATTACGATGGAGGCATTGGATAGTGGGAGCAAAAAGTTCTTTGAAGTTCATGTTGTTGATACCATCATCGAAAGCAACAGTCTCTTCTTGAAAGAATGGTGCGAGCTCAAGTCTCCTCCTCCTGGTTGGACTTTATGGGGATAGGTTAACTTTCCTTTTCCTTTTGTTTGTGTTAAAATAAAATTAAAAAATGTTGTTAGCTTCTAGAACATACGTGCCTTTGTAACATTCAATTCCTTGATACAAAATTTAGGAAATTGACGACTCATTATGATGACCACTGAAATTAATATTCCACATTAGTTTAGGGATATATGGTTATGGGAACTATAATTCTAATCACATTGATGTAAATTGGGACATACAAACATATATATATATATATACACACACACCCACACGTAGTAGTTTTCTACAAAAACCATATAGTTATACTAATCAACTCTCAATCTTAAGAAGTGGTGATGTACTAATTTACATAAATCTTCATGTCTTAGCAATATGTAGAACTTAATCTAATTAAAAAATAATGAAGACACTATACATGTACATGGGTCTGTATAATAGCGTTTGTGGATTTATATGTGAAACGTGTTAAATAACTCATGATTACAGGCGCATTCACTGCAGGACTTAGTCAGAGTCCTTCTCTCCATGAGAAAGTCAACTGACCAGCTCTTTTTCTTTGGAATTGGCATTGAAAACTACTGCTCTATAATGCCTTTGAATTGAATTCCACTCCATTTTTGTGCTACCTCCTCCCCCATGTCATAGAACCCCAGCTCCACAAATTTCTCATGCCCAAGTGTATCTCTTATTCTTTCTCGCTCTTCCATGACATGCTGTCGAATGCATCTGACAGCGCCGGCATCCAGGCAGCTACAATCTGTTCTGCCATCTCCAGCCCCCATTAAACCACCATGAGCATGTAATTTTAAGTCCAGAAATGGAATAACACAAGCCCCCATTAAGTCCTTTCCATAGTCATCGTCGACTATGTGATCAGAAACCAAAGAATGTTTCTTGGTTACCTTCAAGTCCCATACGGGAACCTCAGTTTGATGATTTGGTCCAAGAGGAACTTGTTTTTCTAAGAGAACAATTTAAGAGAGATGAATGTATATCTTTACACTGACCTAATGTCTTTAATCTAATTAAAAAATAATGAAGACACTATACATGCAAATATATGTACATGGTTCTGTAAAAATACCGTGTGTAGATTTATATGTGAAAAATGTTAAATAACTCGCGATTACATGGGGTAAGATAAGGCGGCCCATTCAGTGCAGGACTTTGTCGGAATCTTGCTCTCCATGACATGCTGTTGTATGCATCTGACAGAGCCCGCATCCAACGGCTACAATCTGTTCTAAACCACCATGAGCATGTACATTTAAGTCCAGAAATGGAATAAAACAAGCCCCCGTTAAGTCCTTCCCATAGCTATATGATCAGAAACCAAAGAATATTTCTTGGTTACCTGCAAGTCCCATACGGGAAGCTCAGCTTGATGATTCTGTCCAAGAGGAACTTGTTTTCTAGGAGAACAATCCAAGAGAGACGAATGTATATCTGTACACTGAACAGATAATGAAGACACTATACATGCAAATATATGTACATGCAAATATGTATAACTTAATCTAATTAAAAAATAATGAAGACACTATACATGCAAATATATGTACATGGGTCTGTACAATATACCGTATGTGGATTTATATGTGAAACATGTTAGATAACTCATGATGATTACATGTTGGTTTTGAATTCAGATTGTAAATAGAATTTTAGCTTATATATATAAATGTATATGTATGTCATGTGGAAAATTGAATTTGATTTGTTGAATGGGTTGGTACGTGGAGAAGTCATGCAACGGACAAACTTTGGATCCAGTACTTGAAGCCATGCAAAAATGGCTTCTTTTAATCAAGAAGGAGAAGCTAATATCAGCCCATTCCAAACCAGGAGCCAAGTGGTGCTGGCGATATGGTTGTCATTCTGGAGCCGATGGAAGCACCTCCACAAGGTGATCCCAATCAAGAACTAGTTGTTGATGAAACTTTGGGCCCGATTTAAACCAGCAACAAGTTGTTCCTGTTGAAAATCTGCCACACTCTACTAATAATAAACATGACGTTCAACCCATCTTGGTCTCATTTGCAAACCAAGATGGTGCAGGTGGGTGTCTGTTGTCGGTACCTGATCAGCAAAATAAGCCCCAGCAACACTAGAAGTAGGTGGTGATCATCATCAGGAATGAGAGCAAGAGCTTGATATGGAATGGGATCCTATACTGGAAGCCATGCAAAAATGGTGCTTTTAATCAAGAAGGAGAAATTAATATCGTTGAGCCAATTTGGAACCAACGACCAATCTCTGATGCCAATTGGCTCCTGGAATTGGCTTAAGGATATTAGTTTCTCCTTCTTGATTAAAAGCACTATTTTTGAATGGCTTCAAGTATGGGATCCCCTTCTATATCAACCCCTTGCTCTCATTCGTGATGATCACCACC